ACAAACCTCGCGTCTCTACGTCTGCAGACAGGACCACCCCGACATTTCAAATGAGAACGCCCCACTGCGCGAGGGTGAGCGAGTGTGAGTGAGTGTGTGTGTGTGTGTGTGTGTGTGTGTGTGTGTGTGTGTGTGTGTGTGTGTGTGTGTGTGTGTGTGTGTGTGTGTGTGTGTGTGTGTGTGTGTGTGTGTGTGTGTGTGTGTGTGTGTGTGTGTGTGTGTGTGTGTGTGTGTGTGTGTGTGTGTGTGTGTGTGTGTGTGTGTGTGTGTGTGTGTGTGTGTGTGTGTGTGTGTGTGTGTGTGTGTGTGTGTGTGTGTGTCTTACGTCACTGCATCCTCCGCCGGTTCCTCCCGTCACCTCTTCTTTGTTCGAATGTTTTTCAATCCATCCTTCACGAAGCCCTCCCATGTAGCTAGCGTTCTTGGCGAATGTCTCGAAATGGCCAGCAGGCGCTGTCTGCTCGCGGTCTGTGCGGGCCGCTCGTCCTCCTCGCCCTTCTTTCGTCCTCCCGTCCCTCCCCTCCACCATGGCCTTCTCGGCACTTCTTTCTCCATCCGCCTCGCCCTGCCTTTTCGCATCGTGCCGTTCGCCCTCCATTCGGTGACCTCCATGGCTGTCCGCCCCTTTTTGGGTGGCGCTTGAGCTCGTACGTCCCGACTCCACTCGCGGAGGCGGACTTCGCACTGGGTAAAATTCTTTTTTCCGAGAGAGATCGGTTGTTTAAATTCTTTTTTGTGTTAGTGCCAGTGCGCGCCAGTCCCGTGCCCAGTGTTGCGCGAGGGAGTTTCGTGCTAAAATTCTTTTTTCCACACTAGGAACCTGTAGTGAGCTGTGAGCTGTACACGGAGCGAGGGTCTGTACCGAGGCGTACAGGAACGGTACAAGCAAGACTACATCAGCCAAGCCGCGGTTGAGCGGACGTCCGACAAACAGAGCAATAAGCAAGCCGGCCTGACACGTCCCGCACATGTCCCTGTTCACACAGACATCTCGCTAGGATAGAGACGTCTCTCTCTCTCTCTCTCTATCTATCTATTCATGAGGAGGGCGTTCACACTCCCAACACTCCCCCATTGTCTGCGCGGTCTTCAGATGCGGCAGACAACACAGCGGAGTGTGAAGCGATTAATCGTCACGCTGATCAGAGGCGCGAGCTAGTGAACGTGGCATGTGACCTTCCGTCTCCCGGGCTCAAGGTAGTAGACTATCTGAGCGGTCGACTGGATGTCAATTGAACAACATGGGAGTAGTAGAGCTTGGTCAGCCGCGCGCGGCGATCCGAGCTGGAGCGCCGCGGGGCGGCGGGAGGAGCGAAACCGAAGAGGCGAGAGGCAGAGGAGAGCGAAATACTGCAAAGTCGCGGCGTCGCCACATCGCACCAATGTCCCAGCCTCCCCAACGATGTGGCAGTCGCCGCGATCCTGGACAGAAGAGTGCCCCCGTCGTCATATTTCAGCGGTGCAAGGCTCTGGTCGTAGAAAGTTGCCATCGTCCAGAGCGGCGGCGGCGATGGAGTTGATGGTGGCGAGAGCCGGGGTCCAGGCTGCTCCAGAGGAGGCAGCTGGACTGGCTCGAGGGCTGGCGGCGGCGGCGACAGAGGCAGCGGCGGTGGTGGTGGCTCAAAGGAGATGAGAGCGAGCCGGTAAAGTGAAGAAGGAGAGAAGATCCGTGCCCACGAAGCCGAGGTGCTCGTGGTGGGAACCGAAGTAGACGAAGAACAGACGTCAGAGATCATTCGAATGTCGCCGAGCTCGGCCGATTTGCCGAGTCGGGTCGCGGCCGAGTTGCCGCTTGCTGGGGCTCCAACCCAGCTCCACGTCGAGCCCCAGGCTCGCACGGCACCAGCCTTCGTATCGAGCGAAGACGGGAAAGACTGTGCCGGACAGGCATCAGTCCGGTTTACACGCTGCACGGCCGAGTTGCCAAGCAGGCTCCTGGCCGAGGTGCCAAGAAGACTTGTGAGCAGGGACTCCGACCCTGACTGCCACCACGACACCCCGCAGGTGTCCATGGTGCCGGCTACCGTATCGAGCGCTAGCCAGACTAAGCTGTGCGGTCGCACCGCACCAGCACCACTCACGACGTCGATCTCATCGCTCCGCGATCTCGCCGGAGGTACCATGTAGTGAGCTGTGAGCTGTACACGGAGCGAGGGTCTGTACCGAGGCGTAGACTACATCAGCCAAGCCGCGGTTGAGCGGACGTCCGACAAACAGAGCAATAAGCAAGCCGGCCTGACACGTCCCGCACATGTCCCTGTTCACACAGACATCTCGCTAGGATAGAGACGTCTCTCTCTCTCTCTCTCTCTCTCTCTCTCTCTCTCTCTCTCTCTCTCTCTCTCTCTCTCTCTCTCTCTTGATTGATTGATGGGAACGCGAAACACAGTCCGACCAACGACTGGGACACCAACGCGGTATGGGTGGACGCTAGACGGGCGATGACGGTCACACAGGAGCGACACACAGAACCACAAGACAAGACACTCAGCCAAACTGACTGCCACACATCCTGAGCGAACTTCCCTAGTCACCCGCGGCCGGACTCCATCCGGCACGCGTCGCTGGGCGCTCAGAGCCGCGTCCCCTGCTCGCCACCCCGACGCCAAAGGCGCCCGAATCGAACGACAGGCGGCACGCGAAGACTGGTTGCAATCCCGCCGACCGCCAGGCCGCGGGATGATGCGTGCGTGGTCTTGGAGTGGGTCTCGGAAGCTCTCCTCTAGGGCTAGGGGCCAGCCCCTCTCCCTTGGCCTTGCCCTCGGAACAGTGTGTCCGAGTCGAGGCGTGTGCTTGCCGGTCGACGGCCGCGCGCGGTTGGCATTGTGACGAAGGTTGCGCGCGGCCGCGGCGCGCCCGCCATGGTTCGGCGCGGCGCGCCTACCAGCGGCAATTGTCGAGATCTATTCATGAGGAGGGCGTTCACACTCCCAACAGAACCCTATCTCATGAGAGCCAGGCTCGTGGGGCTAGCGCTCGCGCTCTCTCTCGCGCTCGCGGAGGCGGCGGCGCCCAGCCTGCTCAGCCTCGGCCTGGTGCTGTCGGCCGCGAGCGCCGCCTCGGCGCAGGCAGACGACGCCGACGCCGCCGCACCTCTGGATACGGACGAGGCTGCAGAGGAGGTCGCCGCGGCGGGCGACTTTGAGGAGGCCGACGCCGCAGAGGAGGCGGCTGAGGCGGCGGAGGAGGAGGCGTCTGCGCCCGCGCCCGCGCCCGAGCCCGAGCCGGAGCCCGCCCCGCCTCCGAAGTTCGAGCCGCCGCCGACCGCGTCGCCGGCGGTCGTGCGGACGTGGGTGGAGGCTGCGAAGAAGGCGCTGCCGGCGGCGGCGGTGGCGGCGTCGGGGCTGCTGCTCGTGAGTCGGATCGGCGGCGGCCTCTCCTCCGGCGACGGTGGCAAGGTGTACAAGGTCCCGCGCGCCGTGCGGAAGGCCGGGGCGCCGGCAGCGGTGAGCTCCACCTCCTCTCCTCCCCTCCTCCCCTCCTCCCCTCCTCCCCTCCTCCCCTCCTCCTCTCATCCTTCTCTCCTCCTCCTCTCCTCTCCTCTCCTCCTCCTCCTCTCCTCCTCTCCTCTCTGCACCTCCTCCTCTCTGCGCCTCCTCTCTCCTCCATTCCTCCTCTCCTCCTCGCCCGCCGCCACCTCCCCGCCACCTCTTCACACCCTCCCACCGTGAACAGGTGCCTGACTCAGCCACAGCAGAGGAGGAGGCGCCGAGCGATGGTCCACCGGCGGCGTCCGGCACCGCCCCCCGCCTAGAAGCGCCACATGCGCGGGGGAGAAGTTCGTCCGAACCTTCTCGGAGCCTTCCTGCAGGCACCTGGCTCGACCGCCAGATCGACCGAGCCTTCTACTGGCTCTCGCAGCGCTTCGGGAAGAAGTGAGGCGGCGGCGGGGGGGAGGGCGCTCTCCGTGCGCGCCGCACGCCACCACGCGCACCCCACCCGTCAGACAGCGCAGCAACAACGGCTGCGGCGGCGGCGGCGGGGCCGCCGGGGGCCGTTGGAGCAGGAGGCCGGGCGGGCTGCGGCGCGACCGGGCGGGGTCGCGGCGCAGCCCGCTGGCAGAAGCTTGGGCCGGCAGCTTTGGGCGCGAGATGTGGCGGGATCTACACAGTTTGAGAGAGAAGACCGGGCGCGCATGCGTACCTGAGGTTGCTTTAAAAGGCCATCTCTTTGCAGATTGCACACCTGGGAGGTCACTCTCGAGAGACTCGTTGCCTCTAGCCTCTTGCGTGAAGCACAAGGGGTGCACAACCAAGGGCAAAAAAGTGGAAGCCTGATCATTCTCTCCTCCTCGGCCTTCTTTGCGGCCTCGGCTGCGGCTGCCTCGGACGGCTGCCTCGGCACCCTCCTCTCCGTCTCCTGCGATGGCCCAGCTCCGCCCGCCCCGCCGCCCTTCATCTTTTTCTTGCCCTTCTTGCCCTTGGCGCGCTTCTCCGCTTCGACCTCCGCCAGCAGCTCCTCGGCGTGCCGCGCCGCCTCATTCTCCCCCACCGCCCTCTCCGCCGCCCTCGCCGCCGCCTCTGCAGCCGTCGCCGCCTCCTTCGCCGAATTCTCGGCCGCCGCATGCTCCCCAAAAGCTCCGCCCCGTGCCGCACCAGCAGCTCGGCCACCCGCTCGCGGCCTCGGTCGGCGGCGTACATCAGTGCGGTGACGCCGACGCGTTTTGAAGGTCGATCGAAGCGACACGCTGCAGCAGCGCCGCGGCCAGCCGCCCGTTGCCGTAGAAGGCGGCGACCATCAGCAGCGTAAAGCCGCTCACACCCGCAACAGTGAAAGTCGCATCGACCCGCCCGCCGCCGTCGAGCCACGCCAGCACCGCCGCGTCGTCTTGCTTAGCCGCCTCCACGACCTCCTCGGGGACGGCGCCTCGCCCGTTCCGCTCTCCACGCCGCCAGGAAAGGACGCGGCAGTTGGTGCCGCCGCTGCCCCTTGCTCGAGGCGGCAGGGCCGTCCGCCCCTGCGCCGCCCGCCTCGCCGATGTCCTCGGGAACAGGCCCGCTGCTGCCTGCCCCCGCGCCGCACGAGCGCCGCCGCGTCGCGCCTCTCCGCCGCCACCTCGCCGAGAAACGTCTTGACGGCGGCGACGCACTCGGTGTGGCCCTTCTGCTTGGCGATCGTCAGCGCTGTGTGGCCGTTCGCAGTGCGCAGCGCCATGTCTGCGCCCGCCCGCAGCAGGCGGAGCACGACGACAGAATGGCCGTAGACGGCGGCGGCTGTGAGCGCAGTGCAGCCGCTAACGTCTTGCAGGTCGACCTCTGCCCCGTGCTGCAGCAGCAGCTCCGCCACCTGCAAGTGGCCTTGGTAAGCAGCGAACATCAGCGCGGTTCTGCAGCCGCTGTCCTGAAGGTTGATCTCCGCGCCTGCTGCAGCACTCGGCCACCTGCACGTGGTCATTGACGGCGGCGGCCATCAGCGCCGCAGGGCCTTTGCTATTTTGCGCGTCCGGCTTCGCGACCCGCTTCAGCAAAAGTTCGACCAGCTGCTTGTGATCATTGGCGGCGGCGATCAGCAGTAGCGTCCAGCCACTCAAGCTGCCGCACGCACCTCGGTGTCAAACCAGCCCATCCACCGCCCGTGTGCCCGCCGTGTTTGTTTGAGCACTTGAGCACTGGATAGGGTCGATTCCGCATGGTACGGGACCCCTCGAGTATGACTCGAGAATCAAAGTGGAACAGGTTGGAACATCCTGAGCACGGCGCCGCAGGCGCCTGTTGATAGGTCCAGATGATAGTCCTGGATGGGCAATGCATACGCCTAGTCGGGCCTCAGATCGCCCGACCGACCTCGTCCCGGTGCTGCTCTGTGTGGTCGGTCGGATTTGAGACGTGTTTGTCGGATTTGTGACGCCGCCGCACCGCGCCGCGGCCGGGGGCCCTCCGGAGGCCGAGGATGGCCGTGGCGGACCGGGACGAGCTCTGGGAGGTGAAGTCTGAAGTGTCGGTGAGTATATTGTAGAGACAGACCATGTGCACAATATCTCTCAGTCTAGCTAAGCCAGGGGAGGCGATGCCGGGGATGTACAGCAGCTTGATGGGGCTTCGCCGGCGTGCGTCCTGGAGCGGTCCCGGATGGGCGGTCCGAAGGAGGAAAACTCAGATCAACGCCGACGCCGCTCTGATTCGACTTTTTACTTCAAACAAAGACAGTGGCACACGCGCCGCAGCGTGGTGCATGCCACTGTCAGGAGCGGATCCGTCAGTTAGTTGTGTTCACGCCGGGATCGTCATCTGACTAACCTGGGCAGACTTTACAGTTGTAGGCCGCGACAGTAGCCTCGTTGGCCGGGCGTGGAGTTTCGTACTCCGGCACCTGAAAGGTGAGCACTTCATTCAGCATGATTGCCAAAGTGTGTCCCAAATGCTGAGAGGCGGCCGAGGCGCTTCGAGGGAAGGGAGAGCTCAGCTACGAGATTAACGACGTCGACAGACAGCTGTTACCCGAGTATGCCTCCCGACATTCCGGCGCCGTCCTGTAGGTGGGTGGGCGAGGCCTTCTTCGGGTTCGGCTCGCTCGACCAGGACGGGGCTGTCGACCCGAAGCCGCAGCCGGGCGAGCTCATGACCACCAGGGCGATGGCGGAGGGTTCGATCGAGGGCGCATGGCAGGACTACGTCATGCCCTCGCCCTATGCCACCTGCTTCCGATACAGCCGATTCGGCTTGACCAAAGCGGACCCCCGCAACGTCTCCGCGCTGTCTGGGAGGAAGGTCCCATTTGCAGCGTCGTCCTCGACCTCCGCGACGGCATCACATGACGATGGCGCAGACGAGACTACCAAGGCATCGCGCCGCCGGCTGGCCGAGGAGTGCGACCCTCCGTCACCGCCACCGCCGTCGGCATCGCCTTCTCTTCCGCCTATCACTGGAGCCGGCTGGTACAATGGCCTCTGCTCCTGCTGCGCAAACGAGGTGGCCGACGATGTCAACAAGACTGACCTGTGCGCAAATGCCGCGGTCAACTTCACGTGCCCCAAGACGTGCGGTGGCGAGGCAGACGAGGACAACTGCTGCTCCCTCTTCGGACACATTGCATTGAAATCCATCAAGGCTGATGTGCGCCAACCGCCCCCGCCACCCCCCGCCCCCCGCCCCATCGCCCACATCACCTGTTGTCCATGCCGCACTGAATCGCAGAACTTCGGAAGGAGCCTCAGCGTCCCACTGAACGACGACGAGCTACAAGAGGCCATGGAGGCAGTGTCAGTCGATGAAGAAGACTTTGAGGCGATGCTCGACGAGAGCATCTGCGAGCTCTTTCCCACGAGCGAGGAGCAGGAGGCCTTCAAAGACGATGCGGTGGGCCAGATCTATCCGCTGGCCTGCTTCAAGCGCGGCGAGACGGATATCTCGCGGATTGCGGGAACGAACGATGAGGACCTAGGCCGCCGCCTATTCCAGGCGGAGGAGGCAAGGCTTCCCGTTGAGGCGGCATCAACGCCGCGCGGCATCAACGACACGTTTGACAGCTCGCTCGCCCGCTGCTCTTCTGCGGATCGGCCCACAAGCACACAGGACGCCGCCCCGCCATGCGTCGAGGTAGTGGTGGGAGGCTTGGGGCAAAAGGGCATCCTTGCCGACAACGGACTGGCCCTCACATGCGTCTCCCTCGTGACGGTGAGCCCGCCCCCTGAGACGGCGCTTGCGACCATGTGTGACTGGGCCAAGGTGAAGGAGCTTTGCCCGGAGAGCTGCGCTGTCGCGGACGAAGAGGCGGTAGAAAGAGCCGAGCTGGAGGAGGCGATCGGCATGCTGGAGCAAATGCGGCCCGCGAGCGAGGTTGAAGACGACGACTGGACGGCAAAGTGGACGCGCGCAGAGGAATGCAACGACACACCCGATGAGCTGCTCGCCCCGGAAGCGAAGCGGCTAGGGCTGCTGGCGGAGAGTTGCGCGGATTTGCTGTTCCTCGGGGGGTGCGATTTCAACGTCGTCAAGGGCTTGTGCCCAAAGTCCTGCCGCGCGTGCTTCGGGTCGGACGAGGCTCACCATCGCGATCGTCGTCAGCTGAAAGCTTTCTGTTGAAGTGGTCACGAAGTTTCTGTTGCGGGCGGCTGACATCAGCTAATTACGGTCCCTCGAGGGGTGTTTGAGGACTCCGTGCTCGTCGTGCGTGGAACCCCCGCGCCCCCTTTCACATTTGGAAAAAAGAACGCCTTCTTGAAGTAAATATAACCACTGTTTTCTTCATTCAGAGCGAGACAACGACCGAAAATGGGCAAAAACGGGGTGATTTTGGTCGTCTGTCAAAATATCTGAAGCTCTGAATGGGGGATTCTCCCCAAACCTTGCTCAGCTGATCCAGCATGGGTCGTAGGCCAGGCCTGGGCAAAGAAACCAGTACCTCAACCGGCTTCCCTGAGCGTCACAGCTCGGTGATCGCGCGCCGGCCGGACACCACTGTAACGTCCGTTCCGGGCATTTGAACGCGACCTTCGGGGGCAAAGACATGGGCTCTATGGCTCAGACTGGACTCCTCTTGGTCCCTTCTGATGCCCTAGGCCACACCTGGGCCTTACCTGGTGCTCTAGGGGCCGGGCAGGGTTTGCCCCCCGAAACTGGCACGCGTTCCGAATTCTTCCAACGGGCACCGCTTCGGCCAGGCAGGGCGGTAGTAACATGGAAGACGTAACCGAGTGTACAACACGCTGGAAACGCGCGGCGCGCCCCGCTGACAGCTGACTGCACACACGTCTCACGTGCGGCGCGGCGCGACCAGAAGCACTGCTGGGTCAGCTGCGCCTCCCTGCGGTCCGCCCCATGGCCGCACACTCGTGCAACGCACATGCCGTCTGAGCCCTCCTTCCTCCACTGCTCGATCCACCACGGCCCTCGGCACACCTTCTCCCCGCCCTCCCGGCCGACTGCGAGCCGCCTCCGCCGCCCGAGGCGATACGCTTCGGGGGTGGGCAAAGGCAGGGGCAACACGCCGCGGCGGCGCCTCACAGGAAGTAGGGCACGTTGGAGAGCTGCCCTCCGCCGCCCGCTGCCTTGGTCGACTCCACCTCTTTGAAGATCTTGAAGTTGCGCACCAACTGGTCGTCGAGCGCCAGGATGCACGCGTCGTTGCCGCAGCGGTAGCAGTAGTTTGGCGCCGACCAGACGGTCACGAGGCTCTCCTCGAACATGTACTTGTAGCCCTCCTGCACCAGCTGGTGCGCCCGGCAGATGAGCTCGAGCCCATTGATTGCGTTGAACTCATGCGTCACCTTTTGGCCGAAGAGCCACCCCGCACCGCGCGGCGACACTGCCCACGTGTCGATGTCGTCCGGATCGGACCACATCAGGTCGCAGAAGGCGCCTACAAATAAAGAAATACCCGGGGACAAATCAAGACATGCCCCGGGCCGGACCACATCAGGTCGCAGAAGGCGCCTACAAATAAAGAAATGCCCGGGGGACAAATCAAGACATGCCCCGGGCCGGACCACATCAGGTCGCAGAAGGCGCCTACAAATAAAGAAATACCCGCGGGACAAATCAAGACATGCCCCGGGCCGGACCACATCAGGTCGCAGAAGGCGCCCTCATGCGGAATCTCCTGCTTGCGGTCGATCAGCCGCATCTGGTCGATCGTCCGCACCTCGTGCGCGAGAGAGGTGGGGAGGTGTGGGGAGATGTGGGGAGGTGTGGGGAGATGTGGGGAGGTGTGGGGAGATGTGGGGAGGTGTGGGGAGATGTGGGGAGATGTGGGGAGGTGTGGGGAGATGTGGGGAGGTGTGGGGAGGTGTGGGGAGATGTGGGGGGGTGTGGGGAGGTGTGGGGAGGTGTGGGGAGGTATGGGGGGATATGGGGAGATATGGGGAGGTGTGGGGGGATATGGGGAGATATGGGGAGATATGGGGAGATATGGGGAGATCGCACCTCTGGCGAGAGGCCTCCGTGCACGCAGAGCACTCGCCTTGCGGAGGCATAATAATAATAATAACAATAATAACAATAATGATAATAATGGGTGTCGGGCGTAGCCGCTCGGCCGTGCCTTGCCATGTGTGCGTGCTGGC